ATTATTATGCTAATCGACCGATACTGCAATAGATATTATTTATACAGCTATACAGGGATTGGTTGCAAATCGAACCGGAATCGATCCGATTATGTGTTATGTAGGGCGTACGAGAATATAACGGGTGAAATTGTACGCGTGTGGACTTTACGCGGTGGCGGTACGCGAGTAATGTGATTTTAATGGATACGTCGCCGTTGACGTGTCTAGCGACAATGTAATAATATAATATGCGTTCCCCCTATTATAACATAATACAATATAATGTCGTACAAATAATGGTATTAGTTTTTTTTCATTCCGCGTAATTATAACACGGTCAATTTGATTGTATCGTATTAATTTGACGGGCGTTTAAATAGACAAACAGTGCGGAGTAGATCATTACCACTTCCACCACCACCATCACTAATAACAATACCGTTATCACTACGGAAAACCTATTATTATTATCATCACAGTAATATTAAATAAAAAAAATATTAGGTAATAATGTTATATTCTCCGAAATGTCAACCGACATTTATAATTTTTTTTTTTAAGGGGATTTACCTTTTTCATGAGGTGTTGGTGTTGATTAGCAATATTATGTGGCCGATTATTTATTCTGTTGAAGGGGGTCTCTGTTTTTTTTCGAGATGAAAGGTGGTTATTTGCTTGTGTTGTTTTTTAAATTTACAAATTTCTGAGACCCGTTGCTAGTGTCATACGTATAATATATTGTCATAGAGATACTCTGGTTTTCGTTTTAGCGTCGTGTAAGGCGAAGTTGTTCAGAATATAATAGTTTTTGAGGAAGTAATAGTTGCCTCATATGTGCTTTTTTCATCTAATTTTTCACTGTCGAATAATTGATTATGGTTAGATATCAACATCGACATAATCGAGTATCCTGAATTATTTATAAATTATAAAGTTGATTTTTGCTATCAACGCGTAGGGTAATATTGTTATAGATACTTCATATTATATACTCCTCAATATATTTATTATTAGTAGTAGAAGTATTGAGTCGTTTAGGAAGAAGACCGCTTTGCAGTGCATCAGTTTATTTTTTTTTATATATATATAACATCAGATCCAGAGTGTATATGAAATTTCCGCTGTTTCACATGTGTATTTAGACATTTAGAGCTTATATGCTTTGGCATTTGTGAGAATACAAATGAATTTTATTTGAGATTAATATATTTATATTATATCGTATAATGTATAGTGACTCAAATGAAAAAAAAAATACGCGCACGTCATAGTATTAATATTATATATTATTATTGTTTCGATGTCGGTGGCGTGATCGTTCGAGTGTTGCAAGGGATGGACGTATAATATTATATGTACATATTATTATACACAATGTATCTCGTCGGAAACAATAGCCAGCCCATCCATCCCGCAAAAGCGTCGCCGGTCAATGTATAAATTGCTTATTTATATAATTTACGCACGAACGCTCGTGAGTATGTGTGTGCGAGTGTACGTGTGTGTGTTGGCGTGCGCGTGTGGAGTGGCGTGGGAGTGTGTTGCGCGGGATGCGTCGTGTCGTATACATGTTTACATTGAACTTGACGTGTTTTGTTCGCAGACCTCATAATTAATGAAGTAACCATGGTAACGAGCCATTCATCAATCTATTTAAAGGGACCTTAACGCCTAAACAAACCCGCGAAAATTCGTAACAATTAAACCGTCCGCGTGGCTTGCGGGCGACGTGATATCTGTGTACTCGCGTGCGCATTTTTTTTCTTTTTTGTTTTTTGTTGCCTTTTCATCATTATCGCGTCATATTTTTGCGGACGCCGCGTGATAGATGTATATAATATAATTATAATTATATGCCAAATTTTTTCATGTGAAACGGTTTCGATACGACCGGTCAACAAAATTCGATGGTTTTTTTCGGGAGGGGGAAGGCATGGGATAAAGTCCGAGGTAATTTATTTTTATATATATATATATAGAGAGAGAGAGAGAGAGAGAGAGAAAGAGAGACATGTGTACGACTAATTCGAGTATCCCTATACGCCTCGACGGATTCACCTACTCTCGTCGCGCGTGAAAGCACACAATTCGGTGGATTACTACACGTCTATTAAGTAGGATTTCATGTCGATTTCCTTCCAGAGTCTAAATCTGAAGTCTTCCGCTCGATTACCGTTGCTCGCGCACGATACGACGACGGTTGATCTATACGACGCGTTGCAGTCTATACACTCCACTTATTCTATACTATGATACTGTAGGCACTTAAGCATAATACGTATTATTATACTGGGAGATACGACATTCATGTCCACCCTTCCTTTTAGATTCTGAGCTGAGCGATGGATGTATTGATTTTACAATTATGTATTTTTTGTTTTGTTTTTTTTTTTTTTTTTTCATGTATTTATAAGTACGATAAGTAGTTGATAAAATGTTTCAATTTTCAGCTTTCAGGGTGGATTTGGATAAAAATTAGATTTAAAAAGGCCAAAATTAAAAATTTCCAGTACTCCTTTTTTTTTTTTTAAATCGAGAAAAACAAAACAACAAAAAATTAATAACACATGAGCATTTTTACGCAAATCTCATTTTTGATAAAACTAATTTTTTTTTCTTCTTAACTCGATAACCAATTAGGTACTGCAAGTACTTGCAATTTTCATAAAATGTTTAAAATATTATCTTATATTTAAATCTAAATATTAAAATATTTTGACTATTTTAAAGTTATTTATAGGCATAAGGTATTAATTCTTAAATTAATTAAAAATATTATTCATGAAACTTTAACTTTTATGTATTTTTGATTTATTTTAAAATATTTTCTATAGGTACTATAAATCTATTTTTACTATTTAACGGTATTTACAGAAATGTGTTATTTCATTTTGAGATAAACAGACTAATAGGTAACTTAATATAATACGGTATAATTAAATATTATTATTATAACTAAATACTAATAATATAATAAATGCAACATTTTCGATTAAAATTATATCAAATTATCGTAATATTAAAATTAAAATAAATTACTTTAATAGCTATTATTTAAAAAAATAAAATAATCATTAAATTGTACAAAAAATATAAATTAGTAAAAAATGTGATCATATTATGTAAGTACTGTAATATGAAAAATACCTTGTTGTAACGTTATTTAAAAATTTCATAAATCAGATCTTGAATAACTGAATCATTAAACAAGAATAAGAGGTAAGGGATACCTGGTAAATCACTCTGTGTATATATATACCTTGATTGCACTTTAGGAACACTATGTCAGACTCAGTGCAACACAATTGCGCACTTTTCACCTGATTATCTTTAAGTTCTTGTCTTTGTTGAAAGTTCAGCTTTAGTTGCTCATAAAATTGGTGGAAAAGCGACATCAGATCATTTATAATTATTTAATTTACATAATCAGTGAATTTAAAATTATCAATAGGGATATTTTCAATTAAATAAACAAAAGCATTTTCTACAGCTTCCGAGGGTAAAAATCTTAGTGAAAAAAATTGTTTCAACACCTAGTTCAGATTTTGAACAATAGTTTTTTAACTATAATCATTTAAGCCAAAAATGTAAAATTAAATTAATTTTGTGGGCAGTCGTGTTACGCCCGTAAGTATCATATTTCTAGGTATTCTATGACGGGTTTTTGACGGTTCAATGGGTTTTCATTATAATATGACATAATGATACAGGTGCATCAAGGCATAGTTGCGTGAAGTAATTGAATATTAAAAGTAGTATAAAAATGTATGTTCAAACACACCTGAGCCCCTGAGCCTGAGCCCCTGAGCCTGAGCCGCTGCCTACGTCATCTCACGTACGTTCGTGACGTATATTATACCCCCGCTTCCTCCACACCATCACCACCACCACCGCCGCCGCCGTCACCACCACCACCACCGCCGCCGCCGTCGCCACCACCACCGCCGCCGCGTACGCACGCGACATACATTATCACTGTTATCAGTTATCACATGTTATCATATATTTTTGCCGCTCGCATACGTGTGCGACTTATATTTAATCAGTTATCACTGTTATCATATATTTTTGCCGCTCGCATACATTAAATCTGTCATCACTGTTATCATATATTTTTACCGCTCGCATACATTTAATCTGTCATCACATGTTATCAGTTATCATTTGTTATCATATACGTCCGCGACAAACATTATCCGTTATCACACATTTAAAAAATATAATATATAGAATCGAACCGGGGAGAATATGAATTGTATCACCTAGACTTTAACCCATTGAACAATATATAGTATATATTTAAATACACGCTAAATAATATACATAATCAAATGAATATTCTAACGACGTATAGTTTCCTCTTGGGAAAATAATATAATTATTTGAATTAAATATAAAAAAAAAAAATGTAAAGAAATTGTCATTAACATTGATTATCATTAGCATTATATCCATACGTGAGAAAATAACGTACAAAAATGTGATTAAGTATAAAAAATGCATTAGTAAAATGGCATACTTTTTGTATATAAAACCCAGGATGTCGCCGACTCTTAATAACCATTTTATATTTAAATCGAAATACTAATAGCTTACACCTGAACACTTAGAACTCTATGATAGAAATTTGTGGCGTCAGATTTACAATATTTTTGCAAAGTTTTTATTTCACTGTTTATATTTTTGTTACCTCTCACATATCCAACACATCGACTATCGATTAAGAACGTACGTCGCCAGGATGTCGCACACTAATGATATTAAAATGCTTATTAGTGAATAACACATTAATGACCGACATTAGTACCTTTTGCCGGACGTATACAGTGTAATATCAATTAAGTATCAATATTCCCATTAGTCTGTATAAATCCTGAAAATAGTCAACAGTCCTCCAGTACGTGTTAAACCGTCGTATACGCTCCGTCTTTGAATATTTTCCAGTGTTTAATTTTTAAACATTATTTACACCTTTGTGGTATTATTTTTTTTCGCGTATTACTTTATAAAATTTAAAAATGTTTCAATGCGTGCAGTGTCCTTCAGTTTTTAAACGTAAAGATAATTTGACTGCTCACCAAAAGAAGCATGCAGGTATACGTTTTCCGTGCACTGCATGCCCATCGACATTCTCATACAAAAACAGCCTCAACAAGCATCTGGTGAACATTCATGGTATGTACTAAAAATATAAGTTGTATTTTATACAATATTAATTTATTATTTTCTCTAAGGTATCGTTAACGTTCCGGCTCACCTCAGACCATTGCCAGCTGCTTTAGTCATAGATCAGCCAGCTGCACCGATCATAAATCAGCAAGCACGACCGAGCGTCATCCAGTTCGCGCCTCGTATTGACAACCAAGGTGATATCCAAATCGCGCCTCAAATTTTTGTCCCCAATATCGCGGCCGGTGGATTAAACACGGTTTCTAATGACGATATCACCGTGATGAATGAAACTCTGGACTTGGAGGATACAGGTTAGTTTTATTTTATTTATCCTTCGTGAGTTAATTCATTTTTAAAGGTCTGCCGTGGATTAATTACTTAAAGACGTTTGTCGTTAGATTTATTTCAAACTAGTCGATACTAATTGCAAGTTAAATATATTTTTTTTTTTTAAAAGAAATATCGCTCGCGATAGATTTTTATTAGATATTAATTAAGATTTTTTTTTTTTTTTTTTTTTTTTTTTAAAAGATTCATATACAACTACGACTAATGGCAAACGCATTTCCACCGCCAACACTGTGTCGGCTGTTAAGGCTAAAAAAATGCGTATGGAACTGGTTAGATCCCCGGGTCTTGTTGAAATTTCATCGTCAGGAAAACGAAAAATAGTGTGGTATTTCGCGAAAAATCTGAATAATATTCAAAATTATCCCGACTTTCTCCGTTCTCTCGAACCGGCTCTGTCAGACAAGCTAAAAACTCATGTGCAGGAACATCCGATAAAATTTAGCTTAAAGCTTGAAGCTACGTATAACCGACCAAACGTGCCCAATTCATCCGAAAATCGAGCGTTTACAGCATCAGCCAAAGAAATATTTATGGGCGCAGAAATCGAAACAATAATTGAACAATCTTTTTTGAAATTATTAGCTGAGGAAGACGCTTATGTTTCTCGTGGTAGCGGGTTTACGTTAGAGTCCATCGATGGCTTACTATTAGCCGTTTATAAGTATACACCTATATCTGGTTCATCATATATACAATTACCAAAATCTATCATAGATAAACGATCAATAATAAATCCTAAAAATACAGACCAACAGTGTTTTAAATGGGCTATATTAGCAAAACACGTTGTAGGAGATAACAAATTCCGTGTCAATGAAAATTATACCAAGCATGAGGACAAATACATTTTCAACGGTATTTCATTTCCAACACCGCTGTCGGATATTTCAAAGTTTGAAAAAAATAATCAGAACGTTTCTGTAAATGTTTACGGACTTGAAAAACGATTACAGCCACCGAAAAAGTATCCTTCATATGAGGTTTTCCCACTCAAAGTCGTAGATGATGAAAAACCGGATCATTTTGACTTATTATTAGTGACGGATGGTGATAATACACACTATACTTACATCTCGAATTTTTCAAGATTACTCCGTTCACAAAAAACTAGTCATACAGGTCAAGTTATATTCTGTAAACGTTGCTTTACAACGTTCAATAGACAGAATTTAAAGTATAAGTTAAGCGGGCAGACAGCGCTTGAACATCATAGGTTAATATGCGGACCACATAAACCCATACGACCGATAATGCCAAAAGATGGAGATGTGCTACAATTCACCGCGTGGCAGAACGCGCAGAGACATCCCATAGTTATATATGCCGATTTCGAGTCTTTGCTTGTAAAGACCGACGAGGAAAAGGGGGGTAATACAACAATCATACAAAAACACCGTCCTATGAGTTACGGATTTTTAGTTAAAGCGTCTGAAAATGTTCCAATAGAGTTGTTAGCACAATTTAACATACCGATTGAACCAGTTATATACCGAGGTAGTAAGAGCAGGCAAGACGTGGCAAAGCATTTTATACAAAATATCACTGACGTTGCCGAGAAAATAGAAAAATTATTAAAGACAAACATTACTCTGACCATGACTGATGAAGATATAGCCCAACATAATTCATGTTTTAAATGTAATTTATGTAAATGTAATGTTGATACATACACCCGTGTCCGTGATCACGATCATTTGACTGGGAAATTCAGACAGACCTTGTGTGGTAGATGTAATCTAAGTCTTATACAACCAAAGTACATTCCAGTTTTTATCCACAATCTATCCAACTATGATGCACATTTCATAGTAACAGAACTAGGTTATAATTCAAAAAGAATAAAAGTAATTCCAAACAGCGAGGAGAAATTCGTTTCATTTTCAAAATATATAAGTAAAGATTTTACCATCAGATTCGTGGATACTTTTAGATTTATGGCTACAAGTTTATCAACTCTTGCCACCAACCTAATAACGCCAAACTTGGAAAAATTCCGCATAACCGCAAAACATTTTTACAACAATGATTTACCGCTCGTCACTCGTAAGGGTGTATATCCTTACGACTTCACTGATGATTGGTCCAAGCTTGAACAAACCTCTTTGCCGCCTGTAGAAGATTTTTATAGTGTTCTGACAGAAGAAGATGTTAAAGATACGGAATATCAGTTTGCGATAGAAGTTTGGAACCACTTCAATTGTCAAACGCTGGGCGAGTATTCCGATCTATATTTAAAAGTCGATGTTTTACTTCTGTCAGATGTTTTCGAAAATTTCCGGGATCTTTGCTTAAATACATACCATTTAGACCCGGCATACTATTATACAGCACCGGGGTTCTCTTTCGACGCAATGTTGAAATACACGGCGATAAAACTAGAATTACTGCTCGATTATGAAATGCTTCTCATGTTTGAAGACGGTTAGTATATTGATATTATGTTATTTCTATATGACTATAATAACAATTTTTTCTAGGTATTCGAGGTGGACTCACACAAGCCAGCATGCGGTACGCGAAACCTAACAATGAGAGAACACCTGATTATAACCCCGCAGATCCAAAATCATGGCTTGTTTATCAGGATTGTAAGTTTATCTTTACATTATTATTATTATTATCATTATAAAGCTTATTTTATACTTTAGGCAACAATCTTTACGGCTGGGCAATGTCTCAGTTTATGCCCTACGGAGATTTCAAGTGGGTTAAACCATCACTCGACGGATTAAACGATTTGACTGAGGATTCGCCCATAGGACGGGTTTACGAGGTTGACATTGTTTATCCAAAAAAATTACATAATAAACATAACGACTTGCCATTCCTGCCACAGAATAGCATACCACCAGGCTCAAAAGTACGCAAACTCATGGCTACATTTGAGCCTAAGAAAAATTATATTGTTCACTATCGAAACCTCCAGCAAGCCTTAAACAATGGTCTCATAGTTGAAAAGGTGAATATCATATATAACGTTATTTTATCATAGAATTACTAACATTTATATTATAGGTGCATAGAGTTATTCAATTCAAGCAATCACCTTGGCTTGCCCAGTATATTGAATTAAACACTAATATGAGGAAAAAGGCGAAAAATGAATTTGAGCGGGATTTCTTCAAATTGATGAACAATGCTGTATTCGGTATGCTATTATAAATAATTATTATAATTATCCCTTTTTATCACCCGATTCTAATGTAGGAAAAACGATGGAGAACGTTCGTAAACGTATGGACATGGAACTTGTTTCGTGCAACCGACGTTTGCAGAAATTAATAAACAGATCAACATTTAAATATTGCACCACCTATTCCGAAAACTTGAACGCAGTAACATTGGAAAAAAAAATCATTAATTTTTGTAAACCTATTTATATCGGTAATTTTTCTATTAATAATTTAGATATATAAAGGTATTAATACGATTTTTAATGTATATAGGTCTTGCGGTTCTTGACATAAGCAAGAGTTTAATGTATGATTACCACTATAATGTGATGCAGAAACATTATGGGGATAAAATCGAGCTTATGTATACTGACACAGGTATTACTTATTATTAATTCAATATATTATACATAGTAATAATTTACACAATTTATAGATTCACTGGTTTATTATATCCAAACCAACGATTTCTATGAAGACCTTAAAAATAATAACAACTTACTCGAACGAATGGATACTTCCAACTTGCCGGAGGACCATCCGTGCTACATTGCTGAGAGAAAGAAGATTCCCGGGTTATTTTCTGATGAGACGGATGGACTCGTAATGACTGAGTTTTGCGCGCTGCGATCAAAGTCATATGCATACATTTTGAATGGCAAGGAGAAGATCAAAGCCAAGGGAATTAGAAAACACGTTGTAAAGAATCATATGACGTTTAGCGATCATAAAAAGTGTTTGTTTGAGGAGAAGGGGGAAAATAAGAGAGAAAATGTTTCCATCCGCTCATTCAACCACCAATTGACAACAATTCGAACCAATAAAATTACATATAATAACTATGATGATAAGAGGGTTGTACTTGAAGATAAAGTGCACACAGTGGCTCATGGACATTACTCTCTAAAGTAAATTTATAATAAATTTATAATAGATTATTTTACTTATAATATTTATAATTTTATAGGAAAGACGAACTCGAGGATGATTGGCCTGAATTGGATGAAGAAGGACATAACTGGACGGGGGAAGAGAAAGACTTAATGAGATTGCTTCTAATGGAATGCATGTCTAAATAATATCATTTATATATTTTGTAAATACCATGTCTATATTTTGTAAATACTATATCTGTAAATACTATGTATATTTTTTTTTATTGTAAATACTATGTATATATATATATACTTTATTATATATTAATGTTATCTATAACCATTTATTGAAAAATTTAGGTTACCTATGTAAAATAAAAAAAACCAATGTTAAAATATTATTTTGTTTATTAAATAAAATGTACATACATTCACAATTTTTAAGAATTATTTATAAACCATTTTCTTATAGCAAAAACTTTATAAAATGTACATTGTTTAGGATTAAATTCCATATGAAAAATACAACAAGGTAGAGTTTCGTCATCACATATTTGGTCCAAACGTGGGCAGCCCAAGTCTTCAATGTTGATGAGTGCAACGTGCGGTATATACTCCATAAGAACTTGTTTTTTCTGTTCACCTTTGACGTATATGCAACTGAACTTTAATGAATTCAATATTCTACTTAGCTCCTCGTATTCAACGTCGCCGTAATCTATGGATAGTTGATGATAATTACGTTCTAACCACTTGTTGGTTTTACGACTTTTGTTATCCTGCATCGAGTTTGAATGTTTAAAAATCCAGTGCTGGGTCGCCCATGTTTCTGTGTCTACTATAGACATTTCTTTAACCATGTATTTATTTTTGACGCCAAGTACACATTGCATGTCCAAGATGGCTGAAGACATTATGGTTTGTCTTTATAATAAGTTTCAATAGTATTTAGTCGACTGAGTATAGCTGGTATTAGGTTTTTCAACCCTTCTGTACTTTCTTTGATTGATTGTAATGATACTTCGCCTCTTGTCATATGCTCAGCTATCTGTACACACGTTAATTGTATCGTTTCTACTTGTTCTTCTTGAATTTGTACGGATTTATGATTTTCTTCGAGTAAATGTTCGATTTTATCGAGCTTATTGAAATACGTTTTCATTGACTGTTCAAGATTTGATATATTTTTTTTTGTTTCACCAGACTGAGTACTACCAAACACGTTCATGTCTATAGCTCGACTGACACTATTTTTTAATGTCGCTTGTATTTATCCAACTATTGTGTGTATTATCGAACCCGAGCCATTTCACAAAAATTTGATTCCCCTTCTTACGTATAATTTTCTCGACTAAATAGTCATTTGGATAATTCGTTTTCAATATTTCTTCAGAATAAAAGCAACCAGCAATCGGTTTTCCAGTATAATCTTGTAGCTGATAAGTAGTAGGTAATGTTTCATTAATTTTAACAATTTTAAATATTTCTGTAGACCAGCTCGGTAAATAACCTTTTGCAAATACACCTTTATATGTGCTAATACGGACGTTATCGCCTATGTCAAATTTAATTTTTCCGTCAATAATTTTTCGTTGTTTTATTTCCACTGACGTAGGATTAGCATCAGCTTGCACTGGTGTCATTCCTATTGTCCTATGTTTTGAATTATTATATTCGTTAATCAATGAAGGTAAAATAGAAATCCATTCATGCGAACCTCGTGCCGTAAACTCTCTAAACATTTTTTCTTTCAATGTGCGGTTGAAACGTTCCACAATACACGCTTTCATAGTACTATAAGTCGAATATTTATGTATGTTGTGTTTCTTCATCAACGCGTCAAATGTAGAATTGTAAAATTCTTTTCCATTATCGAGCTGTAATAGTTTTGGTGTGCGTTTATGCAGTATTTTAGACATTGAGCTGGAAACTTCTTTAGCAGTTTTAGACTTTAACGGTATCGCCCAAGCAAACTTTGTAAAACAATCAATAACACATAGAATATATTTGTAGCCCTTGTTTTGTTTAGAATACGGTATCATTTCGACCAAGTCGGCCTGCCATAGATCGTTTTTGCCGTAGACATTAACTCTACGCCTTGTATAATTTTTTCTTGTCGGTTTGTGTAATTCGACTGCGATTTCACGTTTAGACATTTGGAATACGATTTATTAATCCTGCTTCACGCAGTTCTTCAAAAATCGAGATTATTTCGTTTGAAACGCCTGTATTACCAGCTGCCTTTGACGCCAATAGTAACTTCAATCTTTCGACTAGCTCGTTAGGATCGTTCCAGTATACTAAATTATGTTTTTGTAGTTTTATAGATAAGCCTCTTCCCGATCGAAACAAATTTTGGATTATATCATAATATTTATTTCCGCCTTTTTTAATTTTTTTCTCGTCTGCTGTGAGATGGGCTGATGTCTGAGTTAATATAGACTTGTATGCATCTAAATCGTTTTTGGTGTATAATTTAGGATTTTTTGAAAATATTAAATTACCAAGCCCTTGTGTTAGCGGGTAAGATATGTCTTCAATAGTCAACGTATTATCGACAAGATTAATTTCTTTTTTACCTAAAACTACTCTTCCATTTTTTTGTTCTTTAGGTCCATACGTTTTGTCTATATCGTAAGATTTATACCAGTCGCTTATTTTAAAAGCTTGCGAATCGCCTGTGTCGTTAAAATATTGAGAATCTTCATTGTCTTGCTGTGTGGGCGGAGCTTGAAATGTTGTTTTATTAATATTTTGTTTCAATGGTTCGATAATCGGACTTAACGTTTCTGATACTAGTGAATGGATATCGGCTTTTCCTTGTTTTAATGCGGTATACTTGCGTTTGATATTTTCTTTAGCTTTAATCAGTTCACTGAGTACTTCACCACTAGCAGCCATGACTGTGAATGAGGTATTTTTCATAAAAACAACACTTTATATAACGACGAATGTGTCAAATCCGTGACGATATCGACCGTTGTCTCGTTCACAGTCTTTGTTTATCACGATAAATTCAAATCTCCCCAGACGCCAACACGAAGTACAAAAGTCTTTAAACTCTGAGTATGACATATCACCAGAGCAATGTTCATTGTATACATGCTTTAAATTAGTCTCATCTTGTTTAAATAATACGATGAAATTGGCGTTATCACGCAAAAGTTGTTTTGGGACTTTTGAATAACTCTGAGCCAGATAGAAAACATCAACTAAATTATGTCGACCTCTGGAGAAGTAAGTTCTCGCAATCTTTTGGTTTTCAGTAATAATATCGTCGAAAATAAATACAGAGTTTGGTAAAGCTTTCTCAGGTTCAATAACTTGCTCATTTTCATAGAACGTAAATAATTTTATACCATCAATATCTGATAATATATTACTTAGCATTTTATATTTGGGTTGATCCAATGTTTTTGAATATATGTAAACGTTGTGAAATCGTATTCCGTTTAAGTGTGTTAATAAGGTGAATATTAAATTAGTTTTTCCACAGCCAGAGGGGCCCACGACAAGTGCACGTATCGTATTAGGTAGAAGCGCACCATGTCTTTGTTTTATAAACGATGTAGGTGGATCCACGTTTTCAACTGTTAGTTTTATATCTTGTTTGATAAACTTCATTATAAATATCTCTGTAACGACGACAATGTAATCAGTACACAATGTCTCTCGCTCGAAGAAGCAACAAGAATAAAGGCGGTGGACTTATCAATACGCTTATAAACAAATTACCAATCGAGCTTCACGTGCCTGGTAAGTCTAGAATAATAAATTCGATATTATCATAATAATAATAATATTTCTTTGCAGGTTATCAATACTGTGGGCCTGGTACAAAATTAGGAAAACGATTAGCTCGCGGCGATAAAGGTATAAACCCACTGGACTCTGCTTGTAGGGACCACGATATTGCGTACGACCAGAGTAACTCTATCGCAGATCGTAACAAAGCCGATTATATATTAGAGCAGCGAGCCTGGGATAGATTCAAGTCTAAAGATTCGAGTTTAAAAGAAAAAGCTGTGGCTTGGGGTGTGACTACTGCTATGAAAGCAAAACGTAAAGTAGGCGGCGGCTGTGGTTTTAAAGCAGCACTTAAAGCCACTAAAAATGTTGTAAAGAAAAATGTTGGCGAAAAGAACTTGATGAAATTGACTAAAAAATGTGTAGCCGTCGCGCGAAAAACATTCAAAACTAAGAAGACAAAAGTTCCACGAACAATAAATATTCCGAAAAAAGGTGGTGTGCTACCACTCATACCGATTTTCGCCGGGTTGTCAGCTCTGGGAGCTCTGACTGGCGGCGTAGCCAACGTTGTGAAGGTCGCCAATGAGTTTAATAGAAAAACTCCATCACATTTAGGTAAAGGGCTATATCTCACTCCGTATAAAGGCAACTCATACAAAATAGAAACACCACAAAAAAGTGGTGGGGGCGTAAAAGCTAAAAAATATAGAAAGTCAAAAAACTAATTGCCACGTTACCCAGTAGAGCGTTGTACGATTACGAACTTATAAAATATGCTCGCATGATGAAAATACCTCATTTCATCGGCGTTTTTACCAGAGATAGGTTATCTAGACGTCCTAAACGCTTAGAATCAGCGATTATCAACCTGGACACGGAGAAAGGTACAGGTACGCATTGGGTAGCGTATAAAAAAATCGGAAAAAAAGTCATATATTACGACAGTTTTGGGAATTTACCTCCACCATTAGAAGTACAAAAATATTTTCATGGATGTGACATACATTTCAATTACAGCAGAGGGCAGAAATATAATACTACAAACTGTGGACACTTGTGTTTAAAGTTTTTATCATGTTCACATTAACGTTAAACGGAAACTCTAGTGAGTTGTCATGCGAGATCTTTCCTCCGTTGGAAGTAGAAAATACTGCACAAATGTGCCTGCTGAGCTTACAGACAAATAATTCGATACCAAACATAGAACCTGGTTGTAATACTATTGCCTTCCGTAATTTGATGAATGAAAATGAGTACGTAATCATACCTACGGGGACGTATGAGTTGGATCAGTTAGAGTCTATTATACAAAAAATGATGCCCGACTATGTCAGTATGTTTGAATTAAAAGCAAACGGCAGAACATTAAAGTGTATGATATCGTGCAGCCATGATGTTGATTTAGGAGTCGAGAATAGCATAGCGAAATTGTTGGGCTTTAGAAATGTACTATACACTACTGGTGATACTCATGAATCTGAAAATATTGTGAACATTATGAAAATAAACTGTATAAAAGTAGAGTGTAATTTAATCACCGGCTCATTCTGTGACGGAGCACCGAGCCAGATCATACACGAGCTGTATCCTACTGTACCCGCGGGATATAAAATCGTTGAGGTACCTAGGCATCCAGTTTTTTATGGTCTCAATACGACTTCAATAACCAAAGTAAATATCGTGCTAAAAGATCAGAACGATTGTCTAATTAATCTGCGCGGTGAACCGATAACTATTCGTTTACAAATAACGCGTGGATATGGCGCTCAAATTTAATATAAAAAGAGAAACAATCAAAAAACCTATCAGTATACCACCTGCCGTTAAGAAGTCTACATCGCTAGCAGCGAAGAAGTACAAACCTATCCAAACCAAACTCACAAAAAACAATTTAAATTTTCTTCGCTCTTTACAATGATGGATGACTCATATTTAGACGTGACCGCCGACTATGTCGACGATTGTAAAATAACACAAATGCAATTTCATTCGTTCACACCGTATTCAAGCGCCGCTCTATCATACAACGAGGAAATTAGAATTAACGTTCAGAACATGGATTCTTACACTTTGCCGTGTGAAAGTTATATTTTCATCGAGGGTAAAGTAAATAAACCTGCCGATGCAGTCGGAGAAGTTCGTTTTTCGAATAACGGATTGGCATTTTTATTCTCCGAAATGCGATATGAAATAAACGGAATAGAAATACAAAAATTGAAATCACCTGGAGTGTCATCATGTTTGAAAGCATACTGCTCGTACACCCCAAACGACTTGAATGCGTTAGACAACTGTGCTTGGGACTCGGAAATGGACAGTGAAGATAACAAAAATTTTATGACCGACAATGTATTTACCGGGTGTATCCCTCTAAAACATTTATTCGGATTTTGTGAAGATTATAAAAAAATATTACTCAATTGCAATCAACAGCTAATTTTAAATCGCGCGTCTACTGATTTAGATGCTATACGTGTTGTTGGTGCTGGAGCTACCGAAAACGTTGATAAAAATAAAAAAATTACGATTGAACTGACTAAGGTTATATGGAAGATGCCTATTATCAAAGTTTGTGATAAAGAAAAATTAAAGTTATTGAAAGTGTTAGATTCGCGTAAAACACTATCATGTGCGTTCAGGACCTGGGATCTTTGCGAGTATCCCGTGCTCCCTAGAAACACTTCTCATTCGTGGACTGTTAAGTCTAGCAGCTTACTGGAAAAACCAAGATTTGTATTGTTTGGACTACAAACAAGTAGAAAAAACAATATCGAAGTTGACGCTGGACGGTTTGATCACTGTCAACTGAAAAATCTTAAGGTACACTTAAACTCTGAAGTGTATCCATATGATGACTTTCGAGCTGATTTTAAAAATAATACTACCAGCGTACTGTATAAAGCTTATACAGACTTTCAAAAATCGTATTACGAAAGAGAGTATTGTGAACCATTATTATCAAAACATATTTTCCAAAACTATGTGCCAATCGTCGTTGTTGATTTGTCGTATCAGAATGATAACGTTAAATCATCGACCGTAGACCTACGAATAGACTTTGAAACGGACACAGTTATTCCAGAAAAGACTGCAGCTTATTGTTTAATACTACATGACCAGATTATAACTTACAGTCCGTTTAGTGGCGATGTCAGAAAATTGTAAACCTTGTATATATTTTATATACTTTATAATTATTTTTTTTATACCTTGTAAACCATATTGTAAAAACTTAATCTAATAAATAAAAAAAAAAAAAAAAAACTTGTTTAAGTATCACGCTTGTTTTTATTTTACACAAAAATTATTTAAACAATAATTATTCGATCAGTTTGCGTTTTACGTTCTGTTTTTTCGTGGGCTTGCCGCCTGTGAAGTCGAGAAAAGATGGTGAGTGGTTGAAAGACGTCGGACCATCGTTCTCATCAACTGCGAGGCTCGCTGGTTCTATATATTGTGGTGTTATATACCATGGAGGGTACTGCGCATCAGTGTACAAATCACGTCTATGACGTTTGTCTATGGCCGTATGTGCTAGTCCATCGGTATCATCAATAGGCTATACAAATAATAATTTGTTAATATATATATTTATTTTAAAAATTAAATGTGAGTATTACCAATGTCATGGTTGGTGACCGTGTCGCCTGTGCTAAAAATTCATCAACACCACGATCCTCATCAGCTGCCTACAAAATTATAAAAATTAATATTTAAACTATTTACATTTATAAATCGTAAATTACCTGTACCTGCGAAGCGTCTTCGTGCATTGGCGACATATCCGAGTATTTTGGTGGCGAAATGAGCCTCATTTCAGATTCGGTGAATAACTATAAAATAATTATACATTAAATATTTTTACAAGCGACATAAAGGATAGATTAAATTACCTCGGGTGACATTTCCCCGCTCCATCGTTGTACCCATTGTTCAGCCAATTGTTTTGTTGCAAACATTTTGAGTTGACTAATGAAATTCATATCGTGTTTAGGTGTAGATCCAATAATTTTATCGTCACTTAAATTTTTGATAAAAACAACCATTTCTTCGGGTGTTTTTGGTGGTGATTCGACTTTGGTAAACTCCTGGTCCAAATAATTACCCATAATCTCAAATTGTTTTAAGACTAGTGGTCGTGTGATGGTTGACTTTCGAACGACTGTTTCGTGAATACACCATTCCAAATATTGTAATTTCATCAAATCTGTCCTATTTAGCAATACTCGACATCCGGTTTGTGTTTTTGATTCGATGACGAGAACATTTTCCCCTTGGTACACCATACTAGACAGCGAAATAATTTCTGTTTCCAGAAATAAATTTCGCTTGTATTTTTGAGGTAGGTCGATTATAAAAGATAGAATGTTCCCCATAAGTGAGAATATACGTCTTAGAAAATCAGGTGGCATATTTACATATCTCGAAGGAGTGATGACTTGTACTATGGTGTTAAATTCATCTTCAGGATCAAGTCCTACATTCAAAAACTTACGGCCGGTGAAGTCAAGTATAAAATTACTGCAGTCGATGAGCTCTGAAGGCGGTGCTGGAGGCACATAAGTGAACGTCTTCTTTTTGTACAGCGCAGCGTTGTTGGCGATAGAACCAGCCATGTTTAAAATTATTATTGAAAAACACTTTTAAATCACTAAAATTTTTAAAGACGGAGCGAACGATACGTGTACAACGGATTAAGACTGTGAACGTACTAAACGGCTACCGGCTCTTTTAGTTAGGAGTCTCTATAATAGGTGGGGATATTTAAATGGACTATGCTGAAATGTGATTAATTGATTTAAAAGTCTACCATAGAGTTCTAAGTATGCAGGTGCCAGCTATTAGTACATAGCGGCTATTAAGAGTCGGCGACATCCTGGCGACTCGAGCGAATATGCCATTTTATATATAAATGTATATCAGTCATTAATGTGTTATTCACTAATAAGCATTTTAATATCATTAGTGTGCGACATCCTGGCGACGTACGTTCTTAATCGATAGTCGATGTGTTGGATATGTGAGAGGTAACAAAAATATAAACAGTGAAATAAAAACTTTGCAAAAATATTGTAAATCTGACGCCACAAATTTCTATCATAGAGTTCTAAGTGTTCAGGTGTAAGCTATTAGTATTTCGATTTAAATATAAAATGGTTATTAAGAGTCGGCGACATCCTGGGTTTTATATACAAAAAGTATGCCATTTTACTAATGCATTTTTTATACTTAATCACATTTTTGTACGTTATTTTCTCACGTATGGATATAATGCTAATGATAATCAATGTTAATGACAATTTCTTTACATTTTTTTTTTTATATTTAATTCAAATAATTATATTATTTTCCCAAGAGGAAACTATACGTCGTTAGAATATTCATTTGATTATGTATATTATTTAGCGTGTATTTAAATATATACTATATATTGTTCAATGGGTTAAAGTCTAGGTGATACAATTCATATTCTCCCCGGTTCGATTCTATATATTATATTTTTTAAATGTGTGATAACGGATAATGTTTGTCACGGACGTATATGATAACAAATGATAACTGATAACATGTGATGACAGATTAAATGTATGCGAGCGGTAAAAATATATGATAACAGTGATGACAGATTTAATGTATGCGAGCGGCAAAAATATATGATAACAGTGATAACTGATTAAATATAAGTCGCACACGTATGCGAGCGGCAAAAATATATGATAACATGTGATAACTGATAACAGTGATAATGTATGTCGCGTGCGTACGCGGCGGCGGTGGTGGTGGCGACGGCGGCGGCGGTGGTGGTGGTGGTGACGGCGGCGGCGGTGGTGGTGGTGATGGTGTGGAGGAAGCGGGGGTATAATATACGTCACGAACGTACGTGAGATGACGTAGGCAGCGGCTCAGGCTCAGGGGCTCAGGCTCAGGGGCTCAGGTGTGTTTGAACATACATTTTTATACTACTATTAAAGTCACAAACTCGCTTATGATTAAGGACCGGATTTATATGCAAATGCATATATGTATTGGAATAAGGTATTTGAAATCTGATGAGAATCGTCCCTGATTTAGATCAATCTTATTAAAATAATTGTATTTTGCATATTTCAACGGTTTTACCTATTAAATGATTATTTAATGCATTTTAGTAGTTTCAAAGTGCATATTATTATTTATAGTATATATATTATATATATATATATAAATGTTTTTTTTTCGTATTTTCACGTTCATAGTCACATAATATCGATGAAATTACGATCGGTTTTTAATGCTTAAGATAAGATGACCTATTATATATTCATATGAAACATATGTATAATATATTAATATAGATACATTTTTGTTTTAATTTTTTATTAATGTAGGTTAATATTTATAAATTTAAGATAAAGAACGTTAAATTGCAAAGCTGATGAAATACTTTTATATACTTAATTAAATAATATTTATTTTTACATAATTTTAATTAAAATATTTTCGATTTAATTTCTAGTGCATATTTAACAATAAATACATATTTTGTAGCATATTATAACATTTTTAAAAGCATATTTTAAGGATTATTTGTGCATATAAATCCGGCCCCTACTTATAATCTACTTACCGCTATGGAACGATGGAAAGATTGCTTGAATTTTTGGGAAGCGTTTTCTGTAAACAATTTAAGTTAATTATTTTATCTATAAAATATTCCTTATGAATGTTCAAGTAATACAATATAAACCGTAAGAAGGTCCGATAGTATAAATGTAAAGTGGAACGTAAACTTTTTAATCGGGATATTACGACTTACGAAAAACAGTTAAATATTATAATTATATGATTATTATCATATTGTTAATACTTTACAAATGGGAACTATGTCAAGCAAATTGTATTTAAAGTAGGAATTATTTTAGAACCGAATGACTTCACGAGCATATATTATTATTGTGTCGGTCCCTTGATACCGAAACGTATGGCACGAAAACTGTGTATGAATACGAAGACAATTGTTTCAGTGTTAAAGTTGTTTTGAATTTACAACGCGATTAATATCTTCAAGTTTCGGTCAGGTGATATTGTCCTGCGGGGAACAAAGTACAAACGGAACGCCGTAGAGATAATGGCAAGGCTAAATCACGTTGGGCTGTAAACATTTTCTGTTTGTATATATTCGTTCGTGAAGCACAACATACCGTTTCCGTGTATATTTAGTTTAATTTATTATGCATCACGTCTTCGACTTTATGTTCCTTTTAATTATTTGTTCATCCATTACAAGCGTACAAGTATAATTATATCCATCATTCCAGTCAAAAAGTAATACAATTATGAATCGCGAGCTACTATTTATTATGAATAACTTATAGGTATATGTTAAAAAAAAAAAAATATATATATTACAGAAAACTATGCATTTTACATTATTCTATCCTTCTACGTATATATAAAATATAAATAAACGTCCATTATTGAATTTATTTTTTATGAAGTTTAATGTGAATATTTTTCATTGAAATGTAAAATGTTAAAATAAATGTACATGCACTTTGCGTAAGCTAATTGGTAGGATCGTTTGTTACAGCATTATTATAGGCGTAAAATTTCATAGTAAATAATTTAAACGTCAATAACGATGAAGCTCATAATTGTAAAATGCAAAATTGACGCGATCGGTCATTTTATAGTGTACTAATAATATTTAATAATATACTAACAAAAGTCACACACATTATTGTATCTAAAATTAATAGAATTAAATTGTTTTAATTTTTATTGATATTCCTAGTCAAATTTATAGTAAAAAAATCAAACAATTTTGTACACTTTAACAATTTTCACCAACAAAAAAAATCATCACAGCAGGTAACTATTTGAATTTTTTTTATTTTAAATTTTAAATTATATAAATATGGAATTTCATATTGTACAAAAAATTCGATATAGATAATGATAAAAATATTGATTGAAAACACTAAAAAATACATTAGTGAAAAAAAATAATAGTTTTTACTGATAACAAATTTGAGTCAAATATGCATTTACCCAGACGTATAATATGTATTATTAAGTAAAAATTAAAACATTTATAATATAATTTCCCTATCTGTAATAAATAATAATTAAATACAATTTTGTTCTATTGTATAATTTTTGTAGGTATAAAACTATAAAACATTAAGATAGACGAAACTATATATTTAAAAAATTATTTATCTACAGTCAACGGATTTATAACTAATCTTGAGTTAATCTAGCACCCAAGTTCAATTTTCAAGTATAATATTTTTAAATTAATTTTTAATCATCTGCATCAAATAAACAGTATGAACGATTCGTTGAATAATTAAAATTAACTTTCCGATTCTACATAAATTATGTGACATATACTATTGTTGTGTGAAATGCATTAATACTTTCCAATATTAAACGAAATTTCCTTTGCCCTTAAATACGAGTTTATAAAGTGATGTGAACTCTGAGAAATTATTTTATAAATTATTTTAATGAGAATTAATAAATAAAGTACCTACATATCATGCATTTACTAAACCGTGCACGCCTTGAGTTATACATATTTCCTCAGATATACGTCAATCATTTATTTATATCACTTTATTCCAACACCGGAAAATAATTTTACATATCTTCCTACATAATATTCTATATTTTTCTTTTTTGTTGCGTGAAATATTCTCCTGCGATTTGAATTAGTTTGACGTGAAATAAAATAATTTCATTCCCTTTATGAAAGAAGAAAATTTAATATTTTAAAGTAATATTCGAAATTTCTCTGATGGATTTGCAAGTCATATCAAGTGATGTATCATAATATATTATATGTTAGTTGCCTACATCAAGAAATATAATAATATGAAGGAATATATATATATATATATATATATACAAATATACCAGAATAATAATAAAAAACGCCTTTATTCTGTTTAAAACGTTTATATAAAATTATGTGCTGTGTCTGATTATACATTCATTTTGTTGTCACTAATAATACTATTTTTATTATACAACGTTTGATATGAAATACCTACATATAATATATCTAAATAGTCGTATTAAACTATAAAATAAGGAAAAATATTTTACAATTTATGTTTTCTACGTAACATTAGTTATTACCAATTACATTATTCGCAATACGTACTTTACAAGATTATTACAATTTTGAACGGCGCCTTGTATAGGCAATTCAAGAACATTTCGTGTGTTGAATCTTAAAACATATTATAAAATACAATAATGCTTCATCTTTAATTAATTTTTACATAATAATATACATAATATTATAATAAATTAATTTAACTTAATATATTTTATAAAAATTAAAATATTATGCTATAAGCACACAACAATATTTTTCGTTAATCTAATAGTTATAACGAGACGATTTATCAAATTATGATAACTCCCGTTTTTCTTTAATAATAAATATATTCGATTTTAATTTTTAGAAGTTTTTAGTATACTTTTGGATTTTATTTTCATTTTTTTTTTATATTTTACATGCCGTTTAATGAATGTATTATACTCCCATACGAATACAAACTTTTTTTATTCAAATGAGAATTAGAAGTTAATTATTTTCAAAACTTAGATACCTATAAAAAGG